GATACTTAGAAAGAGCCAAGAGATACTAAACAGGAAGGATATATAGGGTTTGATGGCCAACTAGATATGGGTATAACAGAGGAAAAGAGTCAAAGGTTACATCTGCTTTCTGCTCTGGACAATTGGGCCAATGGAGGTATATCCACCAAGGCAAAAAATACAGGCAGAGGGATAGATATGGGGCACAAAGGAAAGGACAACAGCTAATTCGGTTTTGAAACTTGAGTGTGACATTACAGTCGTTTTCCCCCAGGCATATAAACTATTTGTTATAAGAGAAGGCCTACAGACTCCTTTCTTCTTGGACATACCCACCGTATGGTCACAGCACTTAGTGGTTTTGACATGCTGGCCTTGGACACAGAAGCCCCAGGAATGGTACAGCACCCATGGGCCCCAATCTTCAGTTGCTCCAGGCCTTTGAGTAGATTGTTGTCTAGACCACTGGCCAGAACCTTGCTGGATATTCCATCCTTTACATCCTACAGTCTGTTCAAGAACCAGTCTGGGGGCTGGGGATGTGGCTCAAGCGGTAGTGCGCTTGCCTGGCATGCGCGGGGCGCTGGGTTCGATCCTTAGCACCACATAAAAATAAAATAAAGATGTTGTGTCCACCGAAAACTAAAAAATAAATATTAAAAAAATTCTCTCTCTCTCTCTCTTAAAAAAAAAAAAAGAACCAGTCTGGAATCTTGTACTGACATGTATTCTGCATAATGGTGATCACACATTCAACCTTGTCCTCGGTGAGTCCTCCAGCCCTCTTGGTGAGGTCAATATCTGTTTTACTCAACATCACATGAGCATATCTTTGCCTCATACCCTTAATGGCAGAGATAGCAAAGAATATTTTCTACTGCCCATTGATGTTAGTGTTGAGTACTTGGAAAATATGCTTGAACTTTTTAGGGATCACTAGAAACATGGTGGCAGCAGCAATGGCAGCATATAGACCTCTTGTGGAAGCAATTTTACAATCTTATGACAGAAAAAGATATAGATATATCATTTTAAATAAATATGCCTATATGTATACATACACATAGGCATAATTTCAACACATATGTCCCGAAGATAAAACAAAAATGCAGTAAGATTGACTATGAAAGGCTGGCAGAGATGAGCTTTGGAAATGGCTCACTCTAAGGATAGAAAGGGGAAAGGCAGGCTAGACTTCAGAATGAGGAAGTTTGCCTACCCAGATTGCATTCCCTTTTCCTAAGAGCAATAGCTTGAGTTTCCTTCGAGAAACACTATCTCCCAATCCAAGAACATATGGTCTGAAAGGAGCTAAACCACTCCATTGTGCCCAAGGATAGGCATGAATCCTAGGTTTGCCCAAGGAGAAGTAATCCTGAGCTTCTTTGGCTAGACACATTGGGAAAGATTGTTAAAGTAATAGGACTAAACGTGCAACTACTGGTAGCCATCCTATGACTGCAAGGAGAAAGCATTCTGAGAAAGCCACACAAAGGAAAGCTGAACTGGGTAACAAAAATAGATGACAAAAAGTGTGACCTGATAACATTGTTAGAATGCCTGCACCTGACCTTACTTGAAGGCCTTTTAAACTAAAAGACCCGGTATATTCCTCCTTTTTGCTTCAGTGGGTAGCTATCACTTGCAAAATAAAGAGCTCTATATTTATTCAGGTTTTTGTCAGTTTGAAGCAGTTTGCTGTGATTTGTTTGGGGAAGTTAGGTAGCTATGGAGGAAAGCCAGAAAAATGTCTGAATTTGCTGAAGTCAAGTTTGAGAACAGAGAATCTCTATAAGCTTCTGGGCAATGAATAAGTGAAGGTATTGAAATGACACCTGATGTCAAATCCTGCTCCATCAAGCCCAGCTGTTTGACCTTGGGAAAGTTATCTAATCTTCCTAATTTAGGTTCTCTCATCTGTAAATTGGCAATGATAACGGAATCTTTCTCAAAGAATGGTTAGGATAATGACTACAAATGATTTAACTTGGTGTCTAGTTTGAATAAATGTCAACATTTGTCCAAAATCCTTATTAGTCTGCATAAAGTTGCTTTAAGAAATGGATTATCACAGCTCTCTCACCCCCTAACCTCTTGCATCTTTGTAAGTTGGTTCTCCTTAGAAAAGTCATGGGGTTTTTGCTTTTTGTTTGTTTTGCTTATTCTTTCTCAATGATTCTTAAATGTGTTCCATTTATAAGCCTACAGATTTTTTTCTTTTTCTTTTTTTTTTTTTAGTGTGACAAATTCTACTTCTAAGGTGAAAAAAGAAACCATGCTGGGTTTTTCAGCTTTTATGTGATTGCTGGTAATAAAGATTCAAGTTGACAAATTTTGTTGCTGATGCATGAGACAGAATAAAATTAATCTTTTTCAAGGCTATCTGGTTCTGCAGCAGTAAAAGTAGACAGGAAGGTAAAAACATATGACAGAAAGCTATGTGGGTGAGCAGATCTGTAAAGAGAGGATAAGCAGACGAGACATGAGGGAGGACTCTTGACTCAGTCATTTTCAGTCTTTTAAGTACTTTGGAAACTTTCCAGTTTCTCCTTGCTTTACCAAACTTTCCCAATTTTGAAAAAAACAAAATCCTAAAAAATATCTTATGGTTTTCAATTATTTGAGCTACTTCTAGAAAAACTGAGAGAAACTTGGTTCATTATTAGCTAGAAGTTGTAAAAGCTAAACTTAGTTTAAAAAGTAAAAATTGAGGGCTGGCGTTGTGGCTCAGTGGTAGAGCGCGCGCCTTGCCTGTGTGAGGCACTGGGTTCAATCCTCAGCACCACATAAAAATAAATAAAGGTGTTGTGTCCATCTACAACTAAAAAAAAAAATTTTTTAAAAGTAACAATTGAGGGCTGGGGTTGTGGCTCAGTGGTGGAGTGCTTGCCTCGCACGTGTGAGGTCCTGGGTTCAATCCTCAGTACCACATAAAAATAAATAAATAAAAATATTGTGTTCATCTGCAACTAAAATATATATTTAAAAAAAAAAAAAGAAAGAAAAGTAAAAACTGAGCTGGATGCAGTGGTACACACCTGTAATCCCAATGGCTCAGGAGGCTGAGGCAGGAGGATCAGAGTTCAAAGCCAGCCTTAGCAACTGTGAGGCTCTAAGCAACTCAGTGAGACCCCATATGGGGATATGGCTGGGGATATGGCTCAGTCATTGAATGCCCCTGAATTCAATCCCTGGTACCGCCCCCCACCCAAAAAAGGTAAAAATTGAGTTTCTTCAGCTTCTAATTATATTTTCTCTTTCAATTAAAATGTTCCAGAAAACTGCTGAGCATGGTGTTCATCTACAACTAAAAATATATATTAAAAAAAAAAGAAAGAAAAGAAAAATTAAGCTGAGTACAGTGGTACACACCTGTAATCCCAATAACTCAGGAGGCTGAGGCAGGAGGATCACAAATTCAAAGCTAGCCTCAGCAACTTAGCGAGACCTGCCTCAAAATAAAAAATAAAAAGGGCTGGGGGATGTGGCTCAGTGATTAAGCATTCCTGGGTTCAATCCCGGTACCAGAAAAAAAAGTTCTAGAAATGTCATTATCTTTCTATTAACATATAGGTGGCTGGCTTATATTTACTTGAAATTCACAATTAGAACCTCCACAGAGCTGAATCTCCAGACTACCACTGTAAGTAGTGGTTTATTTGGATAGTGACTTTTAGCCCCCTCCCTTTTGGGGAGTCAAGAATGTCAGGTCAGGCACTGAGGGAACCACCTGTCAATCAAGGATCTCTTGGCCAATCCTGGATCTTAGCCAGCCTAGTCCCCCCCCCCCAGCCCTAATAGGATGAGGGACTCTAAAAACCCCTTTTCCTGTCCCAAGCCTCCCTTCATGCCCTAAACCCAGTAAAAATTCCAGTCTGTTGGAGCCCCTTGCACTTCTCTTAGACCCACTCTGCTAGTCTGAGAGTTCCTCTGGGGAGCGAAATCTCCATAAAGCCTCCTTCAGCGACCTTTTAAAATTTGCCTCCTTTTGGTCACCACTGCCTGACCTTACAAAGAATGTTGTACATTTGGATTTGAGTTTTGTGTGACACATATGAAATTGGAATTCAAAAATATAGTACTAGTAGATGCAGAGGATCTATGTAGGTAAGTACATGTAAGTGATGAGTATAAAAGCATTTAAAAAATGAATGGGCCTTCTAAAAATGGGAGCCTGGAGATAAGTCAATGAAATAGAACATAATGACAGTCTAATAGGCTGCTGCTGCCAGATAAATGTCATGGAAAAGTGGACATATTTATCTCGTCTCAATATTTATTTTTAAATCTGTAGTCTATTATCTCTTCTAATGGCTTTATTTCATTTACTCAATGACTAAATATAAATAAAATGAGACCATTTATTTAGTACAAGATAACTATGGTTTCTGATACAGGCTAAGTATCTAGCCCAAAGAAAGATACAGGGTTTGAGGTTAGCCCAAGAGCTAACACACCTAGACATCTCCTCTGTTCTTCCTAATTAACCAAAGTAGCATGAAACCAATTGTTTTGCTATGGTTAAAAATAAAAATAAATCAAGAGGAGGGGCTGGGGTTGTGGCTCAGCAGTAGAACGCTCACCTAGCATGTGTGAGGCCCTGGGTTCGATCCTCAGCACCACATAAAAAATGAATAACTAAAATAAAGGTATTGTGTCCAACTACAACTAAATATATATATATATATATATATATATATATATATATATATATATATATATGAATTTGCTTTCTTGGGAAACATATTTGTATACATTCCCATTATTTAAAAAAATTTCTTGTTTCTCATAAAATATTTGAGAGAAGAAAACTACATTGAATCCTGAGATTTATATACCTTAAATTTGTAAAGTCTTAATTTCTCTTGGGCTGGGGTTGTGGCTCAGTGATACAGTGCTCGACTTGCATGCATGAAGCACTGGGTTCGATCCTCAGCACCACATAAAAATGAAATAAAAATATTGTGTGTCCACCTACAACTAAAAAATAAAAAAATATATATTAAAAAAATGTTTTGGGCTGGGGTTTGGCTCAGTGGTAGAGTGCTTGCCTCTCAAGCATGAGGCCCTGGGTTCGATCCTCAGCACCATATAAAAATGAACAAATAAAAATAAAAGATATTTAAAAACGTTTTAATTTCTCATCTAATATCATCTTCCACCCAAAGCAGGCATCTATCTCTTTTTATCCATTAGGGTAAGGTTGAGTCACATAAAAATAAATACACATTAAAAAATCTAAGCACAGTATGAAAGCAAATGAAAAAAGAAACGGAGGCAGACCTCTACAGATCAGCGATGCTTTATTAAACAATAGAGGGGCACATTTTTGAGGGGAGAATGCCAAGGGGCTACAATAGGGGCTGAGTTTTATAGGGCTTAGCAGAGCCAGGTCATGGGAGGAGTTAGTCAATTACTTTTGGTGGGCTCATTTAGTGTGGGACAGGAGGGCAGGTAGGGAAGTTCCATGGGGCCTATTGTACTGGGGATAGCAGGTTCAGTCAGCTGGGGGCCAGGTGCAAGTTCCTTTTGTATTCTTAGTTTCCCTTCCTACCTTCCCTCTGCCTGAGGCCTGGGCTTCTAAGCTCCAATTTACCACAGACATCACCCCACACACATGATTGGAAGGCAGGTAGGGGAACAGCTGTAGATAGGGGAAGTGTCCTGGGGCCTATTCTCCATGTCCTTAACAGTATAGCTTTATTTCTGTCTTCTATTTTAACAAAAGAAGCTCAAGGTGAAAAGAAAACGAGGAACCAGGAGATGGACAAGCAAGAAATGAAAGATGGAGACCAGGCAGAGATACATATGAGAATTTATTTGTCCAAGCTGACAAATAAAGGCCATCTCTCCATAGACAGAGAGAGGCAATACAGGCTTGGGTTCCCAGACTTTTGTGGGGCAGGCTCAGGGATTAGAGCCAGGTGGGTCCTAATGCAGGTGGTTAAGGGTGGGGTTGTATGAGGGAGAGGTAAGGCTTATTCAGAAAGGCCCTTGGGCGAGAAAGCAAAAACTTTTTCTTAAATGGAGGCTGTCACTTAAGATGGCCATCCAGATGCTAAACAAGGACCTTACACAAGGTACAGAGAGTAACACCAGCAAGACAGCAGAATAGGAAACCCCAAACTTGCCTTCTTCCTGTGGAGACACATATTCAACAAAAAAACATATGTGAAAAATCCAGAAACTAGTTAAGGGGCCCCTGCACACTATGCAAACACAAAACCAGTCACATTAAAGATTGTGGGAAAACTTATGGCACCCTCAAGCCATATATACCCTTGGCCCTTGGTTGCTGTCTGACTGGAAGGAAACTCCCAGCTCCCAGTTCCTGGCTTGTCCCTGGGGAGGGAAAAAGACTGAGCCACGTGTCCAAAGTTTTCACTTTCAGGGGCCTGACTGAGGGACTGGCTTTTGTCTTGCCTGAGAGTAATGATAGGAATCAGCATACTCTAGATACCCGAGGGATAATAAGAATAAAAAATTTTTGGCAGCATGCTGTTGCTACACAGGACTTCCTATACAGCAGATAGTGGCTGATAGTACTTGCTAGCATCTCCCTCTGGGAGAAAAAAAGATTGGAGCATATGTCCAACATCTGGCTTTTGGGGGCTGCTTGACACACTGGTTTCAGATAAGCTTGACTCTGGGAGCTGACAGCGCCCAGCATACTCTAGATGTCTTGGGCTTTTGAGAATAAAAGAAAAGGGGGGAGGGGCTGGATGGAAAACTGTGGCTTCAGATTACCAGTACTACAGCAGACAAACACAGAGAAGAGCATATGAGCTCCTAAAAAAAGAAACTGGCAAATCCCTCAATTTAGGAATCCAGGCAATCAAGTGTCACATTCACACACCCACAGAGGCTTAAAGAGGCCCCCAGAATCTCTAGCCATGCTGATTGGCTAAGGTCTTAATCTTTCTGAAACCAGTCCATCACAATTGGGAGAGGTAGCTGTTCTTTTAAATACAAAAATACCAACACAAAATTTCAAAAAGCCCAAAGACACAGGGGAGAAATGGAGCAATTGAAGGGAAAACAAAACAAAACAAAAACTGCTGGAAACTGACCTTAAAGATAGAGGGAAATGAATTACCTGAAACAAATTCAAAATAACTCTCATGAAGATGCTTAATTAGAGCCAGGCATAATGATGCAGGCTTGTAATCCCAGAAGCTCTGGAGGCTGAGGCAGGAGGATCACAAGTCCAAAGCCAGCCTCAGCAATTAGCAAGGCCCTAAGAAACTCAGGAAGAACCTGTCTCTAAATAAAATACAGAAAAGGGCTGGGGATGTAGTTCAGTGGTTGAATGCCCCTGGCTTCACTCCCCAGTACCACCACCCCTGCCCCCCCAAAAAAACTTAATGAACTCAGGAAAATGATACCTGAACAAAGTGAAAATCTTAACAAGGAGAATATATATATATATATATATATATATATATATATATATATAATGGAACCAAGCAGAAATTTTAGAGCTGAAGAATGCAATAACTGAAATGAAAAATTTGCTAGAGAAATTCAACAGCAAAGTAAGGACTCAGGCCAGGTATGGTGGCAAATGCCTGTAATCTCAGCGGCTCAGGAGTCTGAGGCAGTAGGATAGTGAGTTCAAAGCTAGCCTCAGCAACTTAGCAAGGCCCAAAGCAACTCAGCAAGACCCTATCCCTAATAAAATATAAAAAAGGCTGGGAATGTGGCTCAGTGGTTAAGTGTCCCTAGGTTCAATCCCTGGTACCAATAAATAAATAAATAAGGGCTCAGTGAATTTGAAGATGGGGTCATTTGAAATTACCCAGTAAGAGGAACAGAAAGAAAAAAGAATGAAAATGAGTGAACAAAACCTAAGTGACTTATGGGACACAATTAAGTGGACAAAAAAAAATGTATCATGGAGATTTTAGGAGAAGAGAAAGAGACCAAAAGTCTAAAGAAATAATATCAAAACCTTCCCAAATCTGTGTAAAGATAGATATCCACATTATAGAAGGCCAATAGATATTGAATAAGGTGAATCCAGAGAAACCTGGGCCAAGACACATTATAATCAAATCATCAGAAATTAAAAACAAAATTTTGAAAGCAGTAAGACAAAAGGAATTTACTACATGCAAGGAAATCTCCATAAGACTATCACAGATTTCTCAGCACAAATTCTGCAGACCAGAAAGAAGTTGAATGATTAAATACCCCATCCCACCCTCCCACCCCCCCGCCACATACACACACTCAAACGAAGTGCTGAAATTAACTGCCAACCAAAATACTATTTGGCAAACTGTTCTTCAGAAATGAAGGAGAGATAGACTTTCTCAAATAAATGAACATTGAGCATTGAGGGAATTCATCATCACTAGACTTGCCTTATAAGAAGTGCTAAATGGGGTTGTTCAAGCTGAAATTTAAAAATGCTAAACAGCAATATTACTATTATTATAGGTATTTACGTAAGTCCATGGTAATCCGAAGAAAGTACCTATAGAAGATGATACACAAAAGAAAATAAGAGAAAAACCAAAGCATGTCATTGCAAATAAATAAATGAAACACAAAGGAAACCAGCAAGAAAAGAGTGACAAAAGAGATATTAAAAAAAACACAAAATAATTGACAAAATGGCAGTAAGTTCTTACCTATCAGTGATTACCTTAAATGAATAAAGAATAAACTCTCTAATCAAATGACATAAAATAGTTGAATGGGCCAGATGTAGTGGTGGCACATGTCTGTAATCCCAGCAACTCCAGAGGCTGAGGCAGGAGGATCTCAAGTTCAAAGCCAGCCTCAGCAACTTAGCAAGGCCCTAAGCACCTTAGTGAGCCCCTCTCTCTAAATAAAATACCAAAAGGGCTGTGAATGTATCTCAGTGGTTAAGCATCCTGTGTTAAAAAAATGAATGGATTAAAACACAGCCAGTTATATGCTGTCTATAAGAAACCTACTTTATATTTAAAGACACACACAGGCTGAATATGAAAAGATGGAAAGAGATGCTCCATAGAAACAGTAACAAAAAGAGAGCAGAAGTGATAATATTTATATCAAACAAAGTAGACTTTATCAAAAACTTCATAATAGATTAAAAAAGACATTATATAACAATAAAAGTATCAATTAAACAGGAAGATAAAGCAATGATAAACATATATGCATCCAATATCAGAGCATCTAAATATGTGGAGCAAATATTTACAGACTGAAGGGAGAAATGATAGCAACACAATAATAGTAAGAGATTTTAATATTATACTTTGAATAACGGGCAGAGTATTCAGAAAGAAAACACAGGACTTATACAACACTATAGACCAAATGGACCCAACATATATGTATAGAACAATCCACCCAACAGCAGCAGAATACACATTCTTCTCAAGCACACATGGAGAATTCTCTAGCATAGACCATGTGTTAGGTCACAGAACAAGTCTTCAAACATTTAAGAAGATTGAACTCATACCACATCTTTTCCAACCATAGGAATGAAACAAAACAGTACTTCTACTCAATAGTACAAGGAAAACAGGAAAATTCACAAATATATGGAAATCAAATAACACACCACTAAATAACCGATTGGTCAAAGAAGAAATTAAAAGGATATTTTGAGACAAATGAACATCTAAATACAACATACCAAAATTTATGGGATGCTGCAAAAGCAAAAATAAGAGCTAACTTTACAGCAATAAATGCCCATGTTATATCAAATAAATGATTTATTTCTTGCACCTCAAAGAACTATAGAAAGGGTGAATTAAGTCCAAAGTTAACTGAAGGAAAGAAATAATAAAGATTAGAGCAGAGGGCTGGGGTTGTGGCTCAGTGGTAGAGCACTTGCCTAGCATGGGTGAGGCACTGGATTCAATTCTCAGCACCACATATAAACAAATAAATAAATAAAGGACCATCAATAACTAATAAAAATATTTTAAAAAAAGATTAGAGCAGAAATAAATGAACTAGAGAACAGACAGTAGAAAAACATCAATGAAACTAAGTTTTGGTTTTGTGAAAAGATCAAAAAAAGTTGGCAAACACTTCCTTGACTAGAAAAAAAGAAGTTTTATATAAATAAATCAGAAATCAA